CTAACATACAAGAGGAGGAGGGCACCATATACTGTTCTTTTGTACTCCAGTACAAAAATTCCTCTCGTGGTTTTCTTTCCATAGCTGGGCTTTTGGCTTTTAAGTCCCAAGGATGAGAGGAGAACATCAATTTCTTCCCACACACTAACTTCTCTGGAATCCTGGATGACAGGTGTTTCTGTGCACACATGGTTAACTGGAGGAAATTCATTAGTGGTTTTACTCCTGCTGTTTTACCCCAAACCTCTTCTGCTTAATTCAATTTGGTTGGATGGTTCTGCAGATAAATACTGGAGAAATAAAATACTATTGCACTTCTGCCTCCACTTGCTGAATGCATGCAAAACACTTTAAATCATTAGGGCAGATGTATTAGATTTATTTTATAGGCGAGTCAGGACAGACGTATTAGATATATTTTATAGGCGAAGACCATGAGGCTCAGAGAGGCAAAGTAACTTGCCAAAGACCCTCTGATAGTAAGTTGCAAAGCCACAACTGAAACCCATGTTTGTTGCAATTATTTCAAAAATACAGCACTGTCTTTCAGGAAGCCAGAATCTGAGGCGAAACACAATTGCCAGCATACAAAAATGATAACATTCTTTGTGCCTGGAAAGAGAACATTTTGTAAACTAAAAAATGGGGCAAAGAAGAAACATACATGGGATAGAGAAAAATAGGAGACACCGGAGGTCAGTGTGAGCTACGCCCAGGTCTTGCAAGGAAGGATGAAAGAACAGGAGTCTGGGAGGGGAGTTGGAGCTAATTCTGGGCCAGAGAGGAGGGAAAAGTTTCTGAGCAGGAACCTAAAACGGGACTGAGAAAAGAGTGCGCAAGTGAACACCTGTCCAGTCTGGACTGCCCTCCTTACCTGCCATGAAACCAGTCCTGACACATGTCACACTCGATCATGAAGCGGGTCACATCGTAAGGCAGCCGGCAGAGGCAATACACTGGCACCGAGGCCATCTTCACCCGGCCTTGGAGCGCTCTGCGGCGGGCCAGGTTCGTAGCGTCAAGAGAAGCAGGAGGCAGCAGCACGCGTCCTTTCCGGACGATGGCTGGGCACAAACAACACTTTTTACCGAGTGAATCAGGTCCCCCAGGGTACCAACCCCCCAGTTCACAAAAGGGCAGTTAGTGCTGCCTGGATGCAACACAGCTGGTGTGGCTGTAGGGGACAATCGGAGAAAAGTCCACCGGCCGCCAGAATTCCTTTAACAAATAAAGGACGGTATTTGGCCGCCAAGGTCCGTTCCCCCCCCTCCCCACTCCCTATCCAACGGCCCCCAGTCAGTGATAACTTCTTTCCGGGTTTCAGGGAAAATATCTGATGCCTTTTCAGGAAGCTTCTTTAATCCCTCACTGAACCCTCTCCGTGCTTACAACCCTGCTTCCCTGGGCTTTCTTCATTATGACGCAAACCAAAGACTAAATAGGCTGGGGTACCTTAGAAAAAGCCCTTTATCTCACTACCAAAATAAGAGCAACTAGAGAAAGATGAGGGATCCCTGGAAGTTGCCTCAGATAACTCGAGAATCACCTCGAAGCTTTCAGGAACGCAGACAAGACTAGGCGCCCAACTCAAATCACAGTTCTGGGGTCGTGCTGAGAGTTTAAATGGTCTTCTCCTTCACTTTCAAAATAATTCCATCCCCAACCAGTCAGTAGTCTCATTACCCCAACAAATGAAATAAATCTCAACATCAGAACAGATCAGATCATCCTCTACTTCAAAGACGACAGAGCTCTGAGTTGCACCCCAAAACAAAAAAAGGGTCTCCTCTAAACCCCTGAAACTGACTAGAATTTCTTCATATTCCTGAAACTAAGCAAGGAATCCCCCCCACCCCACAGCGCTCGGAAACGGACAGGCATCTCCTTAAAACCCCCTCAGAGTGACGAGGACTCCCCTGTCCCCCCAAACTGACAGAGATCTCATCACAGATTTCAAGACTGACAGGAAAATTCTTGCAGCCCCCGAAACTTACGAGATCTCTTTACGCCTCCCAAAATGACAGGAACCTCCTCACGCCTCAAACCTGAAAGAATGTCTTTTGCCCGAACCTTACAGGGACCTCCTCATCTGCAAAGCTTCAGGGATCGCTCACACTAGCGGAGTTCTGTTCCACCGACGCGCCGGCTACCGGGCTCGCTGCGGAGCGCCTCAGCACCTAGCTCAGCGGAGGATCAGCCAGCAGTTCCGGTCCCACCGGCGGCGCGCGCCGAATTCTGGGATCGTCACAGCAACGCTGCGAATCTTGCTAGCTTTCCCTCAGAACCACCCGCTGGTTTGCGCGGCCCTGGGCGCTCGGCGGTGCTTCAGAGCCGCTTTCCCCACGGTTTTGCCCCGGGCCCGGTCGTTAGGGCCTACTGGAGCCTGCAGCTTGGGCCTAGTCCGGCGGCCGCCCGCGAGCAGACGAACGGCGTCGTCCCTTGGCCGGCTGGAGATCGCTGCGAGCAAAGCAAGAAGAATGAGAAGAACCGGCGGCCAGGTCGGAGGAAAAACTGCCCGAAAAGTCGCCGGGAGAAACCCGGTGGCGATGGTAGGCAACTAGAAGTAGTCAATAAAGTTTATTCAAAACAAGGAGGAAGTTGAAGCGGAGAGGGGAGGAGAAATATGGGGTAAACAGCTACCATGTTGAGAGTGGCGGCGCCGCCACGGGGAGGCTACCAGACCGCCATCTTATGAGGGCTGGGCACACGAGTTAACCGCGGCTGAGGCGGGGAAGGGAGGCCGGCAGCTCCCGCGTGACGCCAGCAGAGGCGGGGCGCCACATTGAGAAAGGGGAACGGGATGCAGCTACCTATAGACCCGCTCCTTTCCTCCAGGTACCCAATCGAGGCTGAGGATCTTAAGCCACCATCTTAGGCGAGGCAGTCGCTTGGCTCCATTTTGAGTGGGGCCAGAGCCTTCCAAGCCTTCCTCTCCTCCTCCAGGCCAACAGGGAGTTAAGCACGTTCTTTCCTTTTTCCCCCGCCCCCAACGCACACACTCACTCACTCACTCACTGTTCCTCCACCCCTCCGCCCCTCCTCCCCTATTTCCCCCTTCTCCGCCTCCGCAACCTTCTTGTCCTGTGAGAGGAGGTGAACTCAGTGACTGCAAATTGCAAAGCTAATGGGTGGCGGCGGGGGCGGGCTTCGGCCAGGATAGAGATGGAGTACTCTCAATAGCTCCTGTTTGTTGAGCACGTTCAGTGGCTAGGCTCTTTTGCATGGTCTCCGAATCGTTTATTTTTCACCCTTCAAGGAAAGCTCTGTTCAAGTGAGGGTGCAGGTTTAAGGAAGCCAAGTGGCTTGAATTTCAGAGCTGGGAAGTTGAACTTTGCACCAGCTATTCCCCCCGCCCCGTCTTCTGTCTTTGGCCCCTAAGTCATTCCCTTGGTCCTAGTTCTTCCATAAAGCTTTTGTGTACATCCCAGCTCCCTTTGAACTCTCTCTTCTTTGACCCCACTGTTTCAGTTCAGTTTGACTCAGATACCGTGCAAGGATTTTTATGCACAAGTCCCAGTGTGCCTGAGGGTGGGTGGGAGAAGAGGTTAAATGAATGGAACTCCACACACATAGAAGATGGCGCTGGTGTTTTCTGACCTTCGAGAATATTCCCTAGGAATCCTCTTACTATTGCATTTTTTAAAGGATACCGTCACTTTAAACAAGAAAATGTGTGTGTGCACACTAATTTCCTAAGTGATGGTGGCTTAGATCATGGGGATACAGTGATGAAGAGGGACTCCAATGGGGAAATTGCCAGCCAGTGTGGAAGACAAACTTGCAAATCAGCAATTGCGATTGCAAGATCCAGTAAGCACACAGGTACCTCTTGCAAAGTGCAAAATAAAGTCATGAAAGTGTCTCAGAAGCAACTTGCTGCTGTCAAGGAAGGTTTCAAGGAGACCTAAAAGAATATATAAGAGTTCACTAAAGGATCAGCATGTACAAATGCATGGAGGCACATGGGAAAACATTTACAAAAAGAAGTTAAATACTAGATTTTATCCTGTAAGCAATAACAAACCACTGAACGTTTTTGAGCAAAAGCAACTCAAAAGTCCTATTTGCCTCTTAGGGGAAAATTCAGGAGTAGTGGGACCTGAAGCTCTTACAAGTTTGTGAGGTAGGTCTTTAAGAGAAGAATAAAGACTTGTGAATACAAAATTAGGCTCAAAGGTAGAGTATTTCTAGAAGCTCTTCCTACACCTGGGTAAAAACTATAAATAGAAGAAACACAAACCACATATAAATGTCTTAATAAAACCAAACTAAATGTATCCTGCCAATCAACTTCCACATAGCTGGATCTCAAAAATGTCTGAAGCAGCTCCAAAACCACCTAATACAAGAGAAAATGTGACTAGGGAAACTAGTGCAAGGGGGCAGCAATTTTAAATTTTTTTAATGTTTTATTTCTGAGAGAGAGAGAGAGCATGAACAGGGGAAGGTCAGAGAGAGAGGGAGACACAGAATCTGAAACAGGCTCCAGGCTCTGAGCTGTCAGCACAGAGCTGGATGCAGGGCTCGAACCCACGAACCATGAAATCATGACCTGAGCCGAAGTCAGATGCTCAACCAACTGAGCCACCAGGCACCCCGACAGCAATTTTAATCATTTGTGGTTTGGCACCCCGACAGCAATTTTAATCATTTGTGGTTTAAATGTATTTTGCGAGGGGTGCCTGGGTGGCTTAGTCGGTTAAGCATCCGACTTTCGCTTAGGTCATGATCTCGCGGTTCGTGGGTTCGAGCCCCGCGTCGGGCTCTGTGCTGACTGCCAGCTCAGAGCCTGGAGCCTGTTTCAGAGTCTGTGTCTCCCTCTCTCTCTGACCCTCCCCTGCTCACGCTGTCTCTCTCTCTCCTAGAAATAAATAAAAACATTTAAAGAAAAATAAATATATTTTGCGAACTTTATGAAAACATATGACCACGTGACCATATGACAAGTGATAGGCTCTGCAGCTAAAGCTTTCTTAGCTTCACAAGGAGGCTCGAGGGGGCTGACTTTGGTCACACATAATAAAATTGGAAAGACACAAAGTAGATTAATAAGGCCCCTGCACGAAGATGAGATACAATGTTGTGAAGCCTTACATAATAAAAAGGAAAAAAAGGGGGAGACAGGAGGGAGGAAGCTGTTGCATTAGTAACGAAAAAAAGATGAGGCCTGAATCAGGATAGCTGCAATGGGGGTAGAAAAGGATTAGATAAGTGAGATATTTTGGATGTTGAATAGGCAGGGCTTGGGGACTACCTGAAAATAGTAGGTGAATGAGTGAAGGGAGTGTGAGTTCATTTCTGGGTTGTGTGTCAAGCGTGGATTATGGTGTCATTAACTGAACTGGAGTGCACAGAAGGAAAAACAGGTTTGGTGGGGAAGAAGAGACTAAATTCAGTTTGGAGCACATTGAGTTAAAGTGTGTGTGGAACATTAATTCACTCACCCAGACATTCTTTCTTGAGCATCTACTATCCTCCAGGCACCATGCTAGGTGCTAAGGATGTAGTGCTAACCCAAGTAAGATCCTGACCTTCGTGGAGCTGCCATTCTCCTGGGGGGATAAGTCAATAATCAAACAAATACATTCTCATTCCTGTATTCATATTTACCAAGCAGTGTTCTAAGCACTGGGGACGCAAGGGCAAACAAAACAGACAAGGTGTCTGCCCTCCTGTGATTTACATTCCAGCTAGGGAAACAAACAACAAAATGAATCAAATAAGAGAATTTCAGTGAGTGCCAACAGTTGCAGTGAGTGCTATGAGAAAAAGAAAACAAGTTATGAGATAGAGAAAGATTTGGATAGAAGTTAGTCTGTTTTAATAGTTAAGACCCCTTGGAAAAGGTGATGTGCAATCTGAGACCTGAATAATAGGAAGTGACCAGGGACAGGGCAGAAAGAATAAAACATGCAAAAGTCCTAATGTGGTGGGATAGGAGGCAGTTCAGGACACCCCGTCAAAAACATTTCTTGAACATTTATTATGGACTGGGCTGGATATAGGTGGTGATTGGGGTGCAATCTCCAGTCATAAATAAGAGACCCCGTGTTTACCCTTAAGGAGTATACACTCTAATGAGAGAGTCATGTTTCAATGAACAACACAAGGCTGAAAAAAGTCAAGCCCTCAGTGCTGCCTACAGGTATCAGCAACGTGTGGAAACCAAGAGCCACAATGAATTCAAACATGTTCACTTGGTATGTTGCGAAAGCCTTCACAGGAGGTGGCATTTGACCCAGGTACAGTAGTACTCATCCCTGAAAGTTCCTCCCTAGTGTTCTTGGGAGGTGGGATGGAGATGCTAAAGACAATGGGAAAGGCAAAGCTGATAGAGATGAATCTGAGGCAGATTTTGCTGACAAAGGAGCGCTTGGCACTGCTATGGATAGGAAGAAGCTGGCTGCTGCCCTAGAAATGTGTGCTCTCATTTTTCTCTCACAGCATCAGTGCATGATGTGAACTGGCTATCATAGAAGGAGGCTTCCCTGGAAACTTTCCTCCCTTACTCCACCTCCACTTAATAGTTATAAACATTTCCTTTTAATTACAGAAACAATAGTAAATGCATTCCCACTGTAAAAATACAAACAGGCTGAAGGTACCCCTGGCCACCAATCAATCCCTGTTTACTTCCTTAAGGGGAACTTCAATGGCCTCTTTTCCAATTCATCTCTCTGAACATAATATGTAATATAATGATATGAAAAATGATGAGGGCATCCATCAATGGACGAATGGATCAAGAAGACGTGGTTTATCTATACAATGGAATACTACATGGCAATGAGAAAGAATAAAATCTGGCCATGTGTAGCAACATGGATGGACCTTGAGGGTGTTATGCTGAGCGAAATAAGTCAGGCAGAGAAGGACAGATACCGTATGTTTGCACGTATAGGAGGATTAGGAGGAACCTAACGGAGGACCGTGGGGGAGAAGAAGGGGGGAAATAAGGCGGGAGACGGAGGGAGGCAAACCCTGAGGGACTCTTGAATGTTGAGAACAAACTGAGGACTGATGGGTATGGGGGAGAGAGGAAGGGGGGTGATGTGCATGAGGAGGGCACTTGTGTGGATGAGTACTGGGTGTTGTATGGCAACCAACATGACAATAAACTATTTAAAAAAATGATGAGGGCTAAAGTGGAGTATAAAGTAAATGAAAAAGAAAGAGGGGAATGAAAAAAACTACATGAGGAAGAACAGGTTTGCTCCAAAACAGATTGGGAAGTACATAGACAGTGAAAACAAAAGAAAAATAATGACAAATAACATTATCTGAGCATTTACTATATGTTAAACACTATTCTAGGCTCTTTACACGCATGTATTAACTCAGTCCTTAAAGCAACCGTATGAGGCAAGTACTAGGACTATCCCCATTTTAAGTAGAAGGAGTATAGGCATACCTTGAAAATGTTGGAAGTTCAGTTCCAGAACACTGCAATAAAGTGAATATCACAACTGAACTTTTTGGTTTCCCAGTGCATATAAAAGTTATGTTTACACTATACTACAGTCTATTAAGTGTGCAATAAGTGTGCAATAGCATTATGTATTAAAAAAAAAACCCAACAGAGATACCTCAATTTAAAAATACTTTATTGATGGAGCCCCTGGCTGGCTCAACTGATAAAGCATGAGACTCTAGTGCTTGGGGTCATGAGTTCAAGCCTCCTCATTGGGTATAGAGCTCAATAAAAAAAAATACTTTGTTGCTAAAAATTGCTACCAATCATCTGAGCTTTCAGCAAATTATAATCTTTTTGGTGGTAGAGGGTTTTGCTTCAATGTTGATGGCTGCTGGCTGGGTGGTGGATGCTGAAGGCTGGGGTGGCTGTAGCAATCTCTTAAAATAAGGCAGCAGTGAAGTCTGTCACATTGACTCTTTAAGGAATGATTTCTATGTAGCATATGGTGCCATTCAATAGCATTTTACCCACAGTTAACTTATTTCAAAAGTGGAGTCAATCCCAGGGCACCTGGGTGGCTCAGTCCGACTCTTGGTTTCAGCTCAGGTCATGCTCTTGCAGTTTGTGAATTCAAGCCCCAGGCTTTGTGCTCACAGCTTGGAGCCTGCTTGGGACTCTCTCTCTCTCTCTCTCTCTCTCTCTTTCTCCCCCTGTCTCCCTCTACCCCTCCCACACTCACTCTAAATAAGTAAGTAAATACGACAAACAAACAAATAAATAAAAGTGGAATCAATCCTCAAACCCTGCCACTGCATATCAACTAAGTTTATGTACTACTCTAATTCTTCGTTGTCATTGCAACAGTCTTCACAACATCTTCACCATGAATAGATTCCATCTTATGAAACTACTTTCTTTGCTTATCCATAAGAGGGAAGTCCTCACCCATTAATTTTATCATGAGATCACAGCAATTCAGACACATCTTTGGGCTCCACTCCCAATTCTAATTCTCTTGCTGTTTCCCTCACATCTGTAAATACTTCGTCCACTGAACTCTTGAACACCTCAAAGTCAAAAGTCATCCGTGATGTTTTGTTTTAAATAACATGCATTTTATTTAAAACCAACCAAGTGTTGATAAAAATATATCACTGCAGCTGTGATTCCACATCAAACCCTAACAGTAAGAACTAGGCATTTAATTCATTCTTCATATCATGTGCTGGTCTGGCAGAGGACACCCACCTCCACCAAAGCCTCAGAGGAAGAATGAGCCCCTTGGTGAACAGGGCTCAGGTGGCAGGCACCCTGCCCCTCCCTGAGCTTGTGAAGAGAAGGGGCCATGGTGTGCAGCTCTGGTTGTCTGCTCTGCACTCTTCCTGGGGCCCCTGAGGTGGACCCTGATCAGCAACTCCTTAGTGGCAGTGAGTGGAGGGGAAGGGGTGGAGAACCTGTGCAGGAGTGGTGGAGGAGAAGGGGTGGAGGAGCTGTGCAGACGAGATGAGTCCTCCTTTCTCCATCAGTGTCTCTAAAATCCCCACAGAGGATTTGATGGCCATTGCAGGGTTCTACTTGCAGGCACAAGCCTATGAAGAAGTCACCTTTCCTTTGGCTATAGGGGAATCAAGATTCTGAGAGGGAAAATTCTTTTGTTGGAATCAACTTCTTCTAAATTCTTGTTAATGTTGATATGTTGACTTCTTCTCATGAATCATGAATGTTCTTTATTTTTAACATTTATTTTTGAGAAGGGGGAGGATGGGGGGGGTGGACAGACAATCCAAAGCAGCGGGTACTGTGCTGATAGCAGTGAGCCTGATGCAGGGCTTGGAATCACAAACTGCAAGATCATGACCTGAGCTGAAGTTGGACACTTAACCAACTAAGTCACCCAGGTGCCCCATGAATGTTCTTAATGGCATCTAGAATGGTGAATCCTTTCTGGAAGGTTTTTATTTACTTTTCCCAGCTCCATCATAGGAATCACACTGACAGGTACACTGTTAGGAAATGTATTTCTTTTTTTTTTTTTTTTAATTTTTTTAAATGTTTTATTTATTTCTAGGAGAGAGAGAGAGACAGCGTGAGCAGGGGAGGGTCAGAGAGAGAGGGAGTCACAGACTGAAACAGGCTCCAGGCTCTGAGCTGGCAGTCAGCACAGAGCCCGACGCGGGGCTCGAACCCACAAACTGCGAGATCATGACCTAAGCGAAAGTCGGACGCTTAACCGACTAAGCCACCCAGGCGCCCCAAGGAAATGTATTTCTTAAATAATGATATGAAAGTTGAAATTACTCCTTGACTCATGGGCTGCAGAATGGATGTTGTATAGCGTGCGTGAAAACAACATTAATCTTGTACATCTCTATCAGAAATGTTGGGTGACCAGGTGCATTGTCAGTGAGCAGTCATCTTTGGAAAGGGATATTTTTCTGAGCTGTAGGTTTCCACAGTGGGCTTAAAATATTCAGCAAATCATGCAAACAGATGTGTTGTCATACAGGCTTTGTTCCATTTATAGAGCACAGAAAGCATAGATTTAGCATAATTATTTTTGTAAGTAAACTCTATGCCCAATGTGGGGCTAAAACTCATGACTCTGAGATCAAGCGTCACATGCTCTACTGAATGCACCAGCCAGGCACCACATTAAGGGCCCTAGGATTTTAAGAATGGTAGATGAGC